ACCTTCCTATCAGACCTAAAGGGTCTGGTAAGTATTGGGGGAGGGGACTCACACTGGCTTTTTTTTTTTTTTTTTTTACTGCTTTCCCACCGCCCTAGAGCAGATAGACTGCTACAGGGCGGCAGGGGTGTGCAAAATCCTGTATATATACATCATTTTTCATTTCTGGGTGGGGGGGGAACAAGCCGCGCTCGTGCTACCCTTGCCGCCATTCGCGGGTGTCAATCACCGGGTCCCGGCTGGTGATTACCTGCTAACGCCCTGTGACTACTGAGCATCTCTGATGGGGAGGAGGACTGTTTTATTTTCTAACAGTCCTCCTCCCTGTCAGCTCGGGCACACTGCTCTGGATAGCTGTGCACAGTGCAGCCATCCAGAGCAGTGTGCTTACAGTGAAGCATCAACACACCGCCCCCTAGTAAAACACTCCCTGCACACAATTAACCCTTTGATTGCCCCTCATTGCTCAGTGCTTTTTGTTAACACTGATCACTGTATTGGTGTTACTGGGGATGTCCGTGACACCAAGTCTGTTCCTCACAGTGTCAGAATGCCTGCCGCAGTCTCGCAGTCTTGCTATAACTCGCTAATTGATGCCATTACTAGTAAAAAAAATAAAATAAAAATTCCAGTATCTATACTGCCATTTGTAAATGCTATAACTTTCCTATAAACCAACTAATTTACACGTACTGGGATTTTTTTTTAGCAAAGACATGTAGCAGAATACATTTTGGCCTAAATTTATGACAAAATTTGATTTTTTTTTAACTGGACATGTTTAATAGCAAAAAGTCAAAAATATTGTTTTTTTTTCTCTCAAATTTTTTTTGTATAGCACAAAAAATAAAAATGCACAGGCAATCAAATACCACCGAAAGAAAGCTCAATTTGTGGGAAAAAAGGGTGTGAATTTCATTTGGGGGCAGCATTTCATGACAGCCCAATTGTCAGTTAAAGTAACGCAGAACCGTAATGCAAAAAATGGCCTGGTCAGGAAGGGGGGTAAATCCTCTGGTGGGAAAGTGGTTAATGAAGGTTTTTTTGTAAGCAAACATGCAAGAATGGTTTTGTGTGGCATAAATATTCGCCTAAGATATCAGCAAAGATCTTGGTGTAGAATGAATGTATTGCCAGGACATGTGACATACACTCACCTGCTACTTTATTATCTACACCTTGCAAGTACCAAGCTGGACCCCCTTTTGTCTTCAGAACCACCTTAATTCTTTGTGGCTTAGATTCAACAAGTTGTTGGAAACATTTATCAGAGATTTTGGTCCATATTGTCATGAGTTACTGTTGCCTTTCTATCATCTCAAACCAGTCTGTCAGGTTTCCTCTGACATCAGCAAGGCATTTTCTGCTCTCTGTCTTATATAGTGTGGGGGACTTTGCACTGTGAGAGCTCAGTGCATTGTGGGGTGTTTGGCGGGCGGACAGTTGGTGGTGCCTTCACACTGTTATTCTTGACGAGTGCAGGATTAGACCCTGCTCTAAAAATTCTAATTATATGCACCTGTCACACAGGTGTGGAAAAATTAGGCCTTGCATTGTTGGAGTTGTGCCTCCTCCTCACTTTCCTCCTCTGTTCTCTCAGATACCCAGGTACAGTCAGTGACCTCATTATCCCCTCCCTCTTTGTCACTGGAGACAACTTGGCAGAGTGCTATGGCTGGGGGAGCATGACTGCCAATTTCTTTTCTCTTATTGGCATCCACTCTCTCTAGGCTCACGCCACTCCCTTCCTCAACCTGCGAACCAACATTGGAGCATTCAAATTGCTGCACATCCTCCAGCAGCATGAGACTGACACTATGATCAAATAATTCAGCTGACTCTTCCATGCATGACGGTGGGCCTATGGAAGGAGTAGCTTGGTGGACAAGGAGCCTGTGGAATAGGTCGCTTTGGGATGGAAGGCAAACTAGTATGAGCCTGGGTGACAGAGGATGAGGAGAATGAGGATGGCTTAGTTATCCACTCCACCACCTCTTCTGCATGTTGTGGCTCAATAACATGACCAGGACTGGAAAAAAAGGACCAGCATACCCTGCCTACAGAGGATACACCATGTCCATGACCACCACTTTTCACTGTGGACACAGAGGCTGCTTGCCATCTCTTAGCTGCCTGTGAGCATATGCCTCTCCTTCTTGGCCTTTTGGACATAATGGGGATTTTTTAGGGGAAGTTTATACCCCTTTATCAGTAAATATACCTTTTTAGCAGTAAAAAAAAAAGGTAAAAAAATTAAGAAAGCAAAAAAAAAATAAAAAATTGGTGATGCAGAAAGAAGAACAGCTGCAACTCAGAAGCAGGAACAGAACCTGATACTGCAAAAAAGAAAAAATTCACATAGAAAAAAAAGGGAACAGCAGTGATGGAGAAGTGCTGTAAAAACAAGATTGATACCACTACACTGCTCCACAACACCACACTACACTGACTACACTGTCTTCTAACACACCACTAACTGTTAGGGATCCGGGTATGACCAGAAATGTGTGGGGACACAGGCGTAGTCAGGGCTGGAGAGGTGGAATGGTCAGGCAGGCCGTTAGGTACTGTACAGGGCGCGGGGCCTAAGTCCCAATCTGCTTATTCACCAGGGCCCCTAATGGTGGGGATGGACTTGGAGCAGACTGAGACCAGGTCGCGACCCCTGAGTACATCCGGCAATGGTAAAGAGCGTCGTCAGAGGTGTGCGGGGAAAGGAGCCTGACGTGAAGAGGCTGGCAGACCTGGTAACAGGGACAGATCCGTGCGGGATGGATGGATCGTCTGGGTAGCGTCAGGCGTAGTCAGGCAGGCCAGGTCAGCAACGTGCGGGCAGCGAGGTACCGGAGGAGCAGGCAGAGAAAGTCAGGGTCACAAGCCGGGTTCAGTAACTCACGGGCAGCGCAGTACAGAGGATCAGGCAGAACGATGGTCAGGCAAGCCAGGGGTTAAACAGGAGACGGTCAGCAGAGGTCAGGATCAAAGCAGGGTCAGCAACTAGGCAGGAACACAGGATACCAAGTACAGGGGCTCATGGGAAACAATACACCAAGGCACTGACTGCAGGTCTGGCCATTCCTTAAATACACCTCCTGCAATCAGCCTCAGGCGATGGCTGATTGCAGGAGTGAGCTTCTGGTTTCTGAGAGCACCCGCTGGCCAGCCCTGGTACTGCAGCCCACATGGCAGATGAGTCCCACCACCAGTGGTAAATCCATTCCTGACACTAACTAAATCCACCAACACACTACACAAGGCTACTGTGTAAGCAGCCTTATATAGTGTGGGGCTTGGACTTAGCCCGTGAGCCATGATTGGCCAAAGTCACCGAGACTTTGGCCAATCATGGCTCTCACAGTGAATTTAGCTGTGATTGGCTAAAGCATTGCACCTGACCTGTGGTCAGGTGCAATGCTTTGGCCAATCACAATGCACTGTGAGAGCACAGTGCATTGTAAGGCACGGTAGGTGAACAGCACGCCGAACGCCCGTGATGTTCACCCAATGTTCGAGTTGAACACCCAATGTTCGAGTTGAACTTTTGTTCAACTCGAACATAAAGCCCATCCCTACTTGAAAGATCTATTGAATGATTCCTAGAAGTTTGCAATGAAATGTGTACCGTGAGATGGTTGATGATGAAATTGCTGAGTGGATCCAATAGTTTAATCAGGCTGGGACAGGTTTATTGCAATTTTCAGTGACTGAGAATAAAAAAAGAAATTTACCCAGCTTGATACTGAAATTAACAAGATTAAAGAGAAATTAGTTTCTTTCAATCAGGATAAATCTTATCATCTTTATAATAGGGAACTGAAAGAGATTTTGATTGCTGAGGGGGAGAAATAGAGGTCTAAAAGAGAAAAATATTTTAGGGATGTAGAGGACTGTATGACTCATTTTGTTTTTAAGTGGAAGGAAACCGTGCTAAAAAAAAGAGAAGATAATTCTAACAACAGAAGTTCATGGGATGTGGAGGGAGAACAGTGGACTGCCTCTTTACAGAGACCTTTAAGCTCACAGCAACAATGTAATAATTCAGGGGCTGTGCACAAAACATATGTTCCTAGTATCAAATGGGATGAACAAAATACCCCTACATGGGTTCACCACAAGAAAGGAATGGATTCTCATTCTGGGAGAGGTACTACAGATCACCTAGACTGCCTATTATGGGAAACGAAGAGGAGCGAGTGGTCATTACTACTGCCTAAAAAGCAACACTCTGTAGTCTACATGGGATGGTATAGGGGACCCTTTAAATATAAAGAGCATGATCCTATTCCTTTACATAATCAGTATCTACTTTTGCAGAATGAGTCTGCCCTGAGACTTGTACTCAATAAATTTGAGACATTTGTTAGCATACAAAAGTACATCAGAAAAAATAAGAATTAAAAGATATTTCCTTTCTAATCTAGTCTTAAAGTGTTACTAAACCCAGGACCCTGCATTCACTCTATCTGGTCTCCCACAGTACACACAAATGGAAATGCAATTATTTTAGTAGATATTAAATGATAAATACCTTTTTTCATCAGCAGTTAGATCAATCTCGTGGCTTCTATCAGTGTCCAGCTGAGCACTGGTTAACCACTTGCCTATTGGGCACTTTCACCCCCTTCCTGCCCAGGCCAATTTTCAGCTTTCAGCACTATTGCACTTTGAATGGCAATTTGTGCGGTCATGCAACACTGTACCCAAACAAAATGTTTATAATTTTTTTGAGACATATAGAGCTTTCTTTTGGTGGTATTTAATCACCACTGGGTTTTTAATTTTTTGCTAAACAAACTAAGAAACACAGAAAATGTTGGAAAAAAAAGTTTTTTCTTAGTTTTTGTTATAAAAATTAGTAAATAAGTAATTTTTCTCCTTCACCGGTGTGCGGTAATGAGGCTGCAGTGATTGGCACTGATAGGCGGCACTGATGAGGAGGCACTGGTAGGTGGCACTGATGGGCCTTGACAAGCATCACTGATGGGCACTGAAAGGCCGCACTCATGTGGCACTGATAGGCAGCACTGACTGGCACAGATAGGCAGTATTGATAGGTGGCACTGATTGGCGGCACTGACTGGCACTGATAGTTGGCACTGAAAGGCAGCTCTGATGGGCACTGATATGTGGCATTGATGTGCACTGATGGGCACTGGTATGTGGCATTGATGGGTAACTGACAGGTGGCAATGATGGACACTGACAGGTGGCGCTGCTGGGGCTACACTGATCATCAGGACACTGATCATCAGTGCCCTGATGATCAGTGTAGATATCCCCTCTGAGAAATGCGGCTTACCAGCTCTCCTCTCTTCACGTGCTGCCGGTAACCGGCATTTCCTTGTTTACATGCGATCAGCTGTGATTGGACACAGCTGATCACATGACAGAGCCGATGTCATCAGCTCTTTACGGTGATCCGCTGTAACCCAGCGACACAGCGCACCACTGATCGCTGCGTTCCCCTGGGGGCGCACATGCGCAGTTAGAGTGGGAAGACGTCCAAGACGTCCTCCCAGAATGAGAGAACTGCCGCCCATCTGTCATTTCCTTATATGGTGGGCTGGAGGTTGTTAAAGCTTGTAGGAGGAGATTTCATTCTCTCCTAAGAGGCTGCATGACCCCTTACCCTCTGTCTGGACAGTGCTGATTGGCCCTGTGCTGATCTCATACACCCTCCCAAAGAAAAAAAACACTCAAGCAATATACACTAAATTGAGCATGTGCAGAGTGTCTCCTAGAGCTCTGTACTATCAGCAGATGGATTGGGGACAGTAGAAGAAGGGGAGTATCAGAGAAGACAGCACCAAACATTTATTTTTACACAATGCAGAGGGTTAACCCCTCAGGTTCCACAGTGAGTATAACAAGCATGCTTTACTGCATATACAGACTGATTTTACTGATGTGGGTTTAGTAACACTTTGAGGAATGACACTAGAGTAAGGGGGCCTATGAGTACTGAAGTCATTCACTCTGGGCTGAGTAATGCTTCTCTATTTAACCCTTCTGGGACTTTACCAGCTAGTATATCTATATTTAGGGACGTGGTGTTGAAGGATTTGGAGCAGGTATTCATTAAGAATAGGAGAGACAATGAGCTATAAAAAGGGGTGAAGAGTTTGTGATAGGAATAATATGGTCATTTGCCCCACCATTAAGGGGGGTAGTATAGTCCTTTTAAAGAAGAAAGAGGATTATTTAAAGAAAGAGGATTATTTGAAAAGTGTCGGATGCAGTGGTGTAAAGCACACCGCCACTGGACTCTAGAGCAATGGAGACGTGTTCTCTGGTGTGACTGGTGTGATGGATTTGAGCACAGGGATCTCTTGTTTGTTCTCTGGTGTGACCAATCACGCTTTTCTGTCTGGCAATCAGATGGACGTGTTTGGATTTGGCGGTTGCCAGGAGAACGGTACTTGCCTGACTGCATTGTGCCAAATGTAAAGTTTGGTGGAGGGGGGACTGTGGTGTGGAGTTGGTTTTCAGGGGTTGGGCTTTGTCCCTTAGTTCCAGTGAAGGGAACTCTTAAGGCATCAGCATACTAAGACATTTTGGACAATTTCATGCTCCCAACTTTGAGGGAACAGTTTGGGGATGGCCCTTTCCTTTTCCAACATGACTGCGCACCAGTGCACAAAGCAAGGTCCATAAAGACATGGATGAGTGAATTTGGGGTGGAGGAACATGACTGTCCTGACCTCAACCTAATAGAACACCTTTGGGATGAATTAGAGCAGAGACCCAGCCTTCTCATCCGACATCAGTGCCTGACCTCACAAATGCACTTCTGGGAGAATGGTCAAACATTCCCATAGAGACACTCCTAAACCTTGTGGACAGCCTTCCCAGAAGAGTTGAAGCTGCTATAATAAATAAATATATATATATATATATATATATATATATATATATATAGTTCAAAATAATAGCAGTGCGTTGAAAAAAGGTGAATAAAGCTCAAAATCCTTCTAATAGCTTTTATTTCCATACACACAAATGCATTGGGAACACTACACATTCTATTCCAAATCAAAACATGAAGAAAAATATCTCAAATTTGTGTTGTTCCTCTAAAAGAATTGAAGAAAAGTGAATATTAGACTGTTCAAAAAAATAGCAGTGTTTGTATTCTTCTTTACAAACTCAAACATTCACTATGTAAACTGAAAAATGTTTGAAGATTTTGCTTTCCTCCTTTGAATCACTTGCTTCAACCATGCTTTACTGTCTTCACAGTGTACTGTGGCTTGAATTCAGTGTTTGGGGGTCGTCTGACAAACTGTCTCCGGCCACTAGACCCAAAAAGAACAATCTTACTTTCATCAGTCCACAAAATGTTGCGCCATTTCTCTTTAGGCCAGTCAATGTGCTCTTTGGCAAATTGTAACCTCTTCAGCACGTTTTTTTTTTTTTTTTCAACAGTGGGCCTTCGTGGGGGCTTCTTGCAGATAGCTTGGCTTCACATAGGCGTCTTCTAATTGTAACAGTACTCAGGTAACTTTACACCTTCTCTGATCTTCCTGGAGCTGATTGTTGGCTGAGTCCTTGCCATTTTGGTTATTCTTCTATCCATTCGAATGGTAGTTTTTCACTTTCTTCTACGTCTTTCAGGTTTTGGTTGCCATTTTAAAACATTTGCGATCATTTTAGCTGAGCAGCCTATCATTTTCTGCACTTCTTTATATGTTTTCCCCCCTCTCCAATCAACTTTTTAATCAAGGTACGCTGTTCTTCTGAACAATGTCTGGAACGACCAATTTTCCTCAGAATTTCAGAGAGAAATGCACTGTAACCAGCATGTACAACATTTGCTGTCTTCCTTCCTTAAATAAGGGCAATAATTGCCACCTGTTTTTCAAAGAATGAATGACCTCACTAATAGAACTCCACACTGCTATTATTTTGAACATGTCCCTTTCAATTAGTGATTCAATTACACAGAATCAGCAGCTATTACTCTACTACACCTGCTAGTAAATTATTTGCCATTTAGAAATATAATTTCTACCAAAAACAGTGATTGATCAGGTTAGTGATGTCTGACTGCTATTATTTTGAAAACAACTGTATATGTTCTATTTGTCTCAACCTGAAAAGCAAAATTTCAAAGTGCCAGGTGCATGTGCATTTTCAAAATCACAAAATATCCATATAAATATTTGAGTGTATAAACAATCCTAATATAATATGCAAACTCAGTTCATATGAAAAATATCCTTAAATTAATGTAAATATTCTCAAAAAACGTTTTCTCATCGATGCAATATTATTCCACCACCATATCTCACCAGAAATCAGTGCTGGTAAGATTGTAAACCAGCCTACAAAGCACTTCACTCTGGGAGTAACAAATTCCAATCCAGAACTTCTTAATTCACTACCATGTATTGTGCTAATGGTGCAAAAATAAACTCACCAGGGGAAATTGCAGGTAGTATGATAAACCAGCTAGCAGAGCATTCCTCTCTTGGAGCAACGACCTGCAGCACCAAAACAACTCTTTTATCAGAGGACTTCAGGATCACCAAAGTATGTACTCTATCAAATCATACCAGAAGAAGAAAAAGGAAAGAGCTTACGTAGTGTGAAATCCTTAGAACACTTTATTTTTTAAATCATTTCAGAACACTCACATTTAAAAGTGTCTCCACTGACACCAGAATATTATGTCTAGTCATATGTCAAGGTTCCCTCTGGCTGCAATCTCTAACCGCGAGTGCGGACCCAATGTACATGGTGACATCACATTCAAGCCCCGCCCTACGCATTTTGTCATTCAACGTCCTCAAGGGGCCACACTGCAAGGACATTTTTCATATGAACGGATTTTGCACATTTTATTATATGAGGATTGTTTTACACTCAAATATTTATATGGATATTTGTGATGTTGAAAATACACATGCACCTGGTACTTTGCAATTTTGATTTTCAGGCTGAGAAGTATAAAACATATTTATTTTGCTATTTTTATGAGTAAAGGATAATGCACAAGCATCTGACACTTTAGTTTGTATGAAATAGACTGCAGACAGCACTGTCCATTTAAACATACTCTTTTGATTGGTAGAGGTATCAGTTGCCTAGTTGCTGCATTATTTTGTATTTATTTATTTTTAGGATTTTGGTTAAGAATACTGTGGCATGGTTATATAATTCTCCCTTATAATCTTGTGAAGGTATTTACTCCTGTCCACCCAAACATACAGGTACTTCAAATTTCTCCATCCTACTATGCATAGCTTTGTGATTCTCTTGTAGTTGAAAGATGCATTATCCAAAAAAACACAGAAAGGCTGGGCTTGGTAAAACAACTTAAAACCATCTTTGTATTTTTCATAGTACCCCAAAGACAACTTTGTCCCAGCCATCATGGAATCCACAAATCACCCAGCAAGTCTTGCTGATCTGGAAGAAACAAAAGCAAGGTTAGTCTAAACCTCTTAGAATGCTAAAGTCACAGGTAAACAATGTTCTTAATGTTCTGTAAATCTCTCAGCAGATCCATCATTCCCAAGTTTCCATCATCTTGGCAAGTGACGAAGAAGAGGAGTCTCAAAGGCCCTCTACTCAAGAGAGAAGAAAACACCATTTAACTCTGAACCACGTCAACCACATAGATAGCAGTACATAAGTGGATAATGAGGATGCAGACCAAACTTACATGTCCTGTGTGGAGGAACCCTCACATGACAGCAGTGACGCTTGCCTGAAGACCACTCACTCAAGATCCAAGAAAAGTAGACATCATGAAAGTTTCCAGTGACAGCAATGTCAAGCAAATAGCCACTAACAAGAGGAAACGTTCAGATGGTCAATAACAAAATCTGTAGTTCACGTATGCAGAGAATGTAGCATTGGCCGAGAATTTGACTCCTGTGTTTAACAAGTTGTTGCTTCCCCAAATGCTTAAGAGTGCTCAAGCGTGGAAATAAAAGCAATGGAAAATCATTTCCAGAGCTGTGAATGCAGTGGGAGTAGCACCCCGTAGTGAATAATGTAAAAAAAGATGCCAAGACATCAAGGGCAACATCAAGAGGAAATGGATCATGAAGGAAAGGTTAGTCTGATTGTGTGTACTGACATTACAAAACATGTCTACAAATGTCTGGAATTTGGATTAAGTTAATGGCACTTCTTTTTTACTGTACCTCTTAGAGGTCTAATTTATTTGCTTCATTGTTTTTTGTGTTTTCTTCTAGGCAAAACAAATTTCCTGTCGAGATGTTGGACTTAAAAAAACGCTGTTGCCTTACATCCATGAGGAGACAGTTACAGGGTTGGCCAAAGGTTTCGATACCTTGCGCAACAAGAGAGGTAAGTACATTGTGTTTGTGAATATTCTAGATGCATGTTTAATGTTGATGCTGGGTTCTCACTTGCAGCTCTATTGTATGCTTGCAGGAGGACCCCCCCCCCCCTTCAAAATACAATGCTCTTTTGGCAAATTTTCCC